AATTCGTTTGTTTTGCTAGGATTTCCTTGAATTTTGGCAGGATGTCTCGAGCGAAATGCATGTCTTTCATAATTTGTTGAAGACGTTTCGAGCGAACCGCTGGTTTTGCAAAATTGGGGGATGTATCCAGCGGGGGCCTCGTGGGGGGCCTCGTGGGGGTCCAGAATTCAGAGGATGTCTCAGGCGAAATGCTTGTTTACACGTCCCGCTCGCAAGAATTTCGAGGATGTCTCGCGCGTCCGCGCCCCGCGCGCAGGAATTCTGAGGATGTTGGCAGGATGTCTCGAGCGAAACGCTTGTCCCCAGCACGTTCCGTAGCGCGTCCCCTTGGCACGTCCCGCGGTGCGTGCCCATGGCACGTCCCCTGGCACGTCGCTTGGCGCGTCCCTTGGGACGTTCCGAGGCGCGTCCTCCTGGCATGTCCCCTCTGTCTATTAGCTCTGGGGCAGCTACCATGTGTTCAGGCAGCTCGAGCTTAAGATTCAGATCAGGACTCGGATGCAAAGGAGGACTCGATCCACGAGGCTATAGAGCACAATCGCGGCATGGCACATCGCAAGTCAGCACGGCGCAGCACAGCACAGACTTCGGCACAGTACATCAAGATCGATAGACTCAGCATTGCAACTTGGCACGTTCCTTGGCACGTTCCGTGGGGCGTCCCTTGGCGAGTCCCCCTGGCACGTCGCGTGGCGCGTCCCTGGCACATCCCGTGGCACATCCATTGGCACGTTCCGTAGCGTGTCCCCTTGGCACGTCCCGCGGTGCGTGTCCATGGCACGTCCCCTGGCACGTCGCTTGGCGCGTCCCTTGGGACGTTCCGCGGCGCGTCCTCCTGGCATGTCCCCCTGTCGATTAGTTCTGGGGCAGCTACTATGTGTTCAGGCAGCTCGAGCTTAAGATCCAGATCAGTTCGGTCAGGACTCGGATGCAAAGAGGACTCGATCCACAACGCTATCTAGAGCACAATCGCGGCATGGCACATCGCAGTTCAGCACGGCGCAGCACAGCACAGATTTCGGCATGGTACATCAAGATCGATACACTCAGCATTGCAACTTGGCACGTTCCGTGGGGCGTCCCTTGGCGAGTCCCCCTGGCACGTCGCGTGGCGCGTCCCCTGGCACGTCCCGCGGCACGTCCATTGGCACGTTCCGTAGCGCGTCCCCTTGGCACGTCCCGCGGTGCGTGCCCATGGCACGTCCCCTGGCACGTCGCTTGGCGTGTCCTTTGGGATGTTCCGCGGCGCGTCCTCCTGGCATGTCCCCCTGTCGATTGGTTCTGGGGCAGCTACCATGTGTTCAGGCAGCTCGAGCTTAAGATCCAGATCAGTTCGGTCAGGACTCGGATGCAACGAGGACTCGATCCACAACGCTATTAGAGCACAATCGCGGCATGGCACATCGCAGTTCAGCACGGCGCAGCACAGCACAGATTTCGGCATGGTACATCAAGATCGATACACTCAGCATTGCAACTTGGCACGTTTCCTGGGGCGTCCCTTGGCGAGTCCCCCTGGCACGTCGCGTGGCGCGCCCCCTGGCACGTCCCGCGGCACGTCCATTGGCACGTTCCGTAGCGCGTCCGCTTGGCACGTCACGCGGTGCGTGCCCATGGCACGTCCCCTGGCACGTCGCTTGGCGTGTCCTTTGGGATGTTCCGCGGCGCGTCCTCCTGGCATGTCCCCTCTGTCGATTGGTTCTGGGGCAGCTACCATCTGCTCAGTCAGCGCGAGCTTAAGATCCAGATCAATTCGGTCAGGACTCGGATGTTAAGGAAGACTCGATCCACGACGCTATGTAGAGCACAATCGCGGTATGGAACATCGCAGTTCAGCACGGTGCAGCACAGCACAGCCCCTGGCACAGTACATTAAGATCGATACATTCTGCATTGCATTTGCCCGTCGCCCAATCAAGTGTCTTCGAACAGTTGCCATGCCTTACATTTCTATATTCCTTTCCGGGTTCGTGGGTCGATCATGTTTTCATGCTCAGGCCACCCAGGGAGATCTCTAACATGATTGTCCCCAGCTGGAACCACGTGTTTTTACGTGTCCAGGCCACCCAGTTGTCTCGAGCTGGCACCACGTGTTTTTACGTGTCCAGGCCACCAGCACGACGCTTGTCCCCAGCACGTCCTGTAGCGCGTCCCCTTGGCACGTCCCGCAGTGCGTCCCCGTGTCACGTCCCCTGGCACGTCGCCTGGCGCGTGCCTTGGAACGTTCCGCGGCGCGTCTTCCTGGCATGTTCCCCTGTGGACTATGTGTTCAGGCAGCTCGAGCTTAAGATCCAGATCAGTTTGGTCAGGACTCGGATGCAACGGAGGACTCGACCTACAACATTGTAGAGCACAATCGTCACATGGCACATCGCAGTTCAGCACGGCACAGCACAGCACAGCCCTCGGCACGGTACATCAAGATCGACACACTCACTCAGCATTGCAATTTGGCACGTTCCTTGGCACGTTCCGTGGCGCTTCCCGTGGCGAGTCCCCCTGGCACGTCGCGCGGCGCGTCCACTGGCACGTCTCGTGGCACGTCCATTGGCACGGTCCGAAGCGCGTCCCCTCGGCACGTCCCGCGGTGGCCTCCCCGTGGCACGTCCCCTGGCACGTCGCTTGGCGCGTCCCTTGGGACGTTCCGCGGCGCATCCTCCTGGCATGTCCCCTTGTGAATTATCTCTGGGGCAGCTACCATGTGTTCAGGCAGCTCGAGCTTAAGATCCAGATCAATTCGGTCAGGACTCGGATGTTAAGGAAGACTCGATCCACGACGCTATGTAGAGCACAATCGCGGCATGGCACATTGCAATTCAGCAAGGCTCAGCACATCACAGCCCTCGGCACGGTACACATGATCGGTACACTCAGCATTTCAATGTGGCATGGTCCGCGGCACGTTCCGCGGCGCTTCCCGTGGCGAGTCTCCCTGGCACGTCGCGCGGCGCGTCCCCTGGCACGTCCCGTGGCACACCCATTGGCACGTTCCGTAGCGCGTCCCCTTCCCGCGGTGCGTCCCCATGGCACGTCCCCTTGGCACGTCGCCTGGCGCGTCCCATGGGACGTTCCGCGGCGCGTCCTCCGGGGCAGCCCCTGTGTGCTCAGACAGCTCGAGCTTAAGATCCGGGTCAGTTCGGTCAGGACTCGGATGCAAGGGAGGACCCAATCCACAACGCTATAGAGCACAACCGCGGCATGGCACGCCGCAGGTCAGCACGGCGCAGGACCGCACAGTTTCCGGCATGGTGCATCAAAATCGGTACAGTCAGCATTGCGTTTGCCCGTCGCCCACTCAGGTGTCTTTGAAACGTTGCCGCGCCTTTGATTTTTATATTCCCTTCCGGGTTCGTGGGTCGATCCTGTTTTATTCATTGTTTTGCCGATCGACGTGGGCCCTCGCTACCCCCCCCCCCCCTCACCCCTCATCATGGAGCGGATCGTGGTTGTTTTTGGGCGCTTGTTTCGGACAGGTGGAGTCTGCCCAACGGCCGCAGTGCTGCAAACAGTCGCGCTAAGCAGAGGTCCACAGCTAGACCCCCCCTGCCCCACCTCTTCCGCCCAATGTCGAAACGCCGATCAAAAAAACGCTCACCAGCGAAACGCTTGTTTTGCAGCGCTTGACAGGCCTGGGCTCCCCAGGATGCCAAGGTGGTTCTGGGAGTGCGGCCGGACCGTCATTTACAAGGGATCTGGCCCTGCGAGGGTGACAACACGTGGATTTCTAACGCCCCAGAGCGGGACGGACACGCGTAAAAAGTTGTGGGCCCCTAATCCTCCAGAGCGAGACAAGCGTGAGAACAGGTGGGTTTCTAACGGCCCAGGGCGGGACCAACGTGAAAACACATGGTTCTTAACGTGCCAGATGGGGACACGCGTGAAAAGACGTGGGTTCCTAACGCCCCAGGGCGGGACACGCGTGAAACCAGATGGGTTCCGAACGCCCCAGAGCAGGCAAGGGTGACAGCACGTGGGTTCCTAACGCTCCACACCGGGGCAAGCGTGAAAACAGGTTGGTTCCAAACGCCCCAGGGCGGGACACGCGTGAAAAGACGTGGGCCCCTAACGCCGCAGAGCGGGACAAACGAGGCACCACATGGGCTCCTAAAGCCTCAGAGCGTGGCAAGCGCGACAACACGTGGGTTCCTAACGCCTCATGGCGGGGCAGGCGTGAAATCACACACGTTCCAGACGCCCCCGTACGGGGCGGCGTATGCTCCATCGCCCCTCGGCGCCTCCCTCTCGGCCTCTGTCGCGCTCCCTGGCCTGGCCCCTGGCGCTTCCTTTGCCCGCTCCGTGGCGCGTCCCTTGTCAGGTCCCCTGACACGCCCCCTGGCGCATCCCCTAGTGCGACCCTGGCGCATTCCGTGGCGCGTCCATGCGCCTTGCGCCCCATGTCGCGTCGCCCCGCTTCGGAACGGAGTGGGATCTTGAGCTCGAGCTGAGTGAGCGTCCCACACAATTCGACTGCAGCCAGCTCTGTGCCAGCGATGCGCTCAGACAGCTCGAGCTTAAGATCAAGATCAGTTGGGTCAGGAGTCGGATGCCAAGGGCGACTTGACCCACAACGCTATGGAGCACAACGCAGTTCACCGCGGCATGACACATCTCACTTCCGCACGGCACAACACAGCACAATATTAGGCACGGTACGTCACGATTGACACGCACAGCATTGCACAGTCGCCCGATCCAGCGTCTTGAACGCGTAGCCATACCACGCGTGTCTCAATTCCTTTTCGGGCTCGTTTGTCGATCATGTTGGCCATGTGCGGTTTGGTGTGTTTCTTCGGAACGTTTGTTGTCCCAGTGGGTCAGCCCTGCATTCCCACCCGTCCCTGGATGAACCGCGTCGACGCATCGCCAACAGTGAACCTTCCCCGTGCATATTGCCTTGCGCTATGCCCCGCGTCTCGCGTCTGATTCTGGAGGGCTTTGTTCCAGTGGCTGCTCCTCGTTCAAGTAGCCAGTTTGCACCTTCTCAACTCATCCTCGTCGAGGCTTTTACGGCGACCAAGACCAGCACAACGACCGAGACCAGCACGACAACTTTGCACAGCACTACCGAGACCAGCGCAACTCCGCACAGCACCACCGCCACGTCATCAACGAGTACTACAGGCAGTTCCACTACGTTGAGCAGCGCAACGGATAGCAGCGTATTAACAAGCACAACGCAGACACGTACGACAGCAAGCACATTGACAAACTTCACGGCGGAGAGCCGCAGTCTTTCCACGCCCTCCCCTTCATGTTCCTCTTCATTCTCCCTCCGAGGAAATGTACCACTGTGCATTCGTCGTAGCCGTCGGGACAATAGCAAGTGGTTTGGGGTGCCCTCAAAAGCCAGGCTTTTGGAAGCCGTGCTTCCTGGAGTTCCCCGTGATGTTCCCGGAAAGGGTGTGGGACCAGGACTATTTTTTAGGAGTTCACCCTTGGAATCGATTGCTGTAGGGCCGGCGAAATTATTTGCTGTTAATAACGAGGTCGCGTAGGGCCGGCGAAATTATGTTTGAGGATGTCTCGGGCGAAAAGCTTGTTTTTCAGAATGTGTTCAGGATGTCTCGAGCGAAACGCTTGTTTTGCATTATTTATTGAATTGAACGCCCCTGGATGGGCAGACACCGCCGCCCCATGTTGTTTTTGGAACGCGGAGGTTGCGTGGGGGGCAATTCGGGATGTAGCGGGGGTGTTCACTCAGCTTTGGCTGGGCTTTGTCAGTGATCTTTTCGTGCTGTGGGTGTGTACCTCCTCAGAAAGGCCCAACAGAGCCGGACAATGACCTAAAAAAGACGCCAGATTGGACAATAAGGTTTCAGAGGGCCTGGAAGAATACGAAAGTGGGGTCTTAAAGGCTCTCAGAAAGCCCCAAGAGAGCCGGAAACTGATAAAAAAAAAAACGCCAGAAAGCCCTAAGAGAGTCTGATAATGATTTAAAAAGGACGCCTGAGGGTGTGCAAAAGTGTGGTCGAAAGGAAGAGGCATACGGAGAGGCGTACAAACGAGATCGCAGTTAGTTTGGGGGCCTCAAAACGGACTCCGGGGACCCCTGGGCGCGCCCAGGACGGCCCAAGAAAGCCCCAAAAATGTTGCCAGACGGCCCAGGCCGGGGTCGGGAGGCGTGGAGCAACGTGCTTCCAAGAGCCCGCGAAGACGCACGTGAGCTCGAAACGAGGCAAGAATAGAGGCTCGACAAGGCCGGAATGGACATAATCAGATGTGTTTTACACGGTTTTTGCGTGTTGGTTCTTTGTAGTTGAAGTGGGCCGAGGAGAGGTGGGCGGGCTGCCAGACTGGACCAAAATGGCGTCGAGGACAGCCAAGATCGCCCCAGGAGAGCGTCTGGAGGCCTTCAAAATCGAGTCAGTGAGCTCCCGGAGAGGCCTCTGAGAGAGGCCGGCGGCGCTTAGAAAACGAACGTTGACAACGAGGTGTGTTCTGAAGCGAAAAATATGGCCAAAGAGCGCTCATTCCGCAGCTGCGGCCCCCGGGCCGGCGGAATGAGCAGGCCGCGGGGAGGACCCCAGGAGGGGTTGCAAAGGCTCTGAGAAATGGGTATTGGTACGAGGAGTTCGTGCGCGCGCAGATTGAGGGGACTGAGTTCGTGCAGACCATGCGGCGGGGATCTCGCGCGCCGTTCCCGGTGGGGCGGCGGATCGCTTCGCTCATTCCGCCGGCCCGTGGGGGCCTCTTGGGGGCCTCTTAGGGCCTCTAAGAGGCTCACTGGGGGCCTCTTAGAGCCTCTTGGGGGCTTCTTGGGGGCGTCTCGGGGGCCTCCTGAGGGCTCTTCGGGGCCTCTTGGGGCTTCTTAAGGCCTCTTGGGGCGTCCTGGGGGCCTCTCGGGACCGAGGGCATGAAATGTTGTTTCGTGCTCCCCCTTCTGGGGCCGCTCTTAGGGCGCTCTAGGGGCCGCTCTTAGGGCGCTCTAGGGGCCCTCTTGGGCCGTCTTGGAGGCCTCTTGGGCCGTCTTGGGGCCCTCTTGGGGGCCTCTTGGGCCTTCTTGGGGCGATCTTGGGGGCCTCTTGGGCCGTCATGGGGCGTCGGGAAGCCAAAAAGGTGGAAACACCAATGTCTCGAGCGAAACGCTTGTTTAGTGTTATCTATTGTTCCTCTCCTGGGGACCAGAATTCAGAGGATGTCTCAGGTGAAATGCTTGCTTTCACGTGCCCAGATTTTGAGGATCTCTCTAGCGAAACGCTTGGTTTCACGCCTCCAGGTTGCCCAGGGAGAGGTCTAGCACCAGGATTTGTTGAGGATGTCTCGAGCGAGACGTTTGTTTTCACGCGTTCAGGCCGTCCAGGCAGATGTCTAGTATGAGCATGAGCATGCGCGAACGCTTGTTTTCGCGTGGCACGTGCCGCGGTGCGAACCCCATGGCACGCCCCCTGGCAAGTCGCCTGGTGCGTCCCTTGAGACAATCCGCGGCGCGTCCCCCTGGCATGCCCCCTTGTCAATTTGCTCTGGGGCAGCTATCTGTGCTCAGGCATTTCGAGCTTAAGATCCAGATCTGTTCGGTCAGGACTCGGGTGCAAAGGAGGACTCGGCGCGGCGCAGCACGGCGCATCGCAATTCAGCACGGCGCAGCACAGCACAGCCCTCGGCACGGCACATCAAGATCGACCTCAGCGTTGCAACCTGGCACGTTCCCTGGCAAGTTCCGTGCCGCGTCCTGTGGCGAGTTCCCCTGGCACGTCTCGCGGCGCGCCCCCTGGCACGCCCCGTGGCACGTCCAGCGGCACGTTCTGTAGCGCGTCCCCTGGGCACGTCCCGCGGTGCGTCCCCATGGCACGTCCCTTGGCATGTCGCTTGGCGCGTCCCTTGGGACATTCCGCGGCGCGTCCTCCTGGCATGTCCCCCTTGTCAAATTGCTCTGGGGCAGCTAATCTGTGCTCAAGCATTTCGAGCTTAAGATCCAGATCTGTTCGGTCAGGACTCGGGTGCAAAGGAGGACTCGGCACGGCGCAGCATGGCGCATCGCAATTCAGCACGGCGCAGCACAGCACAGCCCTCGGCACGGCACATCAAGATCGATCTCAGCGTTGCAACCTGGCACGTTCCCTGGCAAGTTCCGTGCCGCGTCCTGTGGCGAGTTCCCCTGGCACGTCTCGCGGCGCGCCCCATGGCACGCCCCGTGGCACGTCCAGCGGCACGTTCTGTAGCGCGTCCCCTGGGCACGTCCCGCGGTGCGTCCCCATGGCACGTCCTTTGGCACGTCGCTTGGCGCGTCCCTTGGGACATTCCGCGGCGCGTCCTCCTGGCATGCCCCCCTGTCAACAAGCTCTGGGGCAGCTACTTTGTGCTCAGGCATGTCGAGCTTAAGGTCCAGATCAGTTCGGCCAGGACTCGGATGAACAACGCTATAAAGCACAATCGCGGTATGGCATGTCGCAATTCAGCATAGCATCCTGTCACGTTCGTTTCCTGGCACGTTTCGTGCCGCGTCCTTTGGCGAGTCCCCCTGGCACGTCGCGCCGCGCGTCCCCTGGCACGTCTCGTGACACGTCCATTGGCACGTTCCGTAGCGCGTCCCCTTGAAGGCACGTCCCGCGGTGCGTCCCCGTGGCACGTCCCCTGGCACGTCCCCTGGCGCGTCGTTTCGGACATTCCTCGGCGCGCCCTCGCGGCATGTCCCATGTCAATTAGCTTTGGGGCAGCTACGATGTGCTCAGGCAGCTCGATCTTGAGATAGCTTCGGACCAGACATCGTCGTGTGGGGGCTTCCAAGAATTGAGTCTTTGTGGGGTGGGGGTGCCAAGTCGTGGTTGGGGGCGTGGTGGGGGCGCGGTGGGGGATGTTGGTCGGTTTCGAGCCAAAACTTTTGATGTGGGGGGTCCCTAGGACGGAGCTCTCGTAGGGTGGGGGTGCTAGGACGTGGTGGGGGCGTGGTGCGGGCGCGGGGGGGTGGGTGGTAGATTTCGGGCCACACATTCTCGGTGGGAGGGGCCCAGAGGTGGAAATGCCGGGCCAGATCGACGGGGAAGATGGGCGGCGGGGCGCGAAAATGGCTCGGTGGGGGGCCCAAGAAGGTCCAGAAAGAGAAGATGATGGGGCCAGGCCGAAAAGGGAAAGAGGCGGCGGGGCGCGGGTGGGAGGTCCGAGGGCAGGTTGGGGACTACCCAAATCAGAGGTTCCAGGCTGGGGAACTGAAGGGGCACGGTGGGGGGTGTAGGAGAGAGTTCCACATGGACACATGGAATATCAGGGTCGATGCATGGTTCTGTTGAGTGCACAAAAGGATACCTCACACGCCTCTGGGGTCGGCGGATTTGTTTGTATTCCGTGGCGACAGCGGGCATTGCCTAGCGGGGGTAGGGCGGGGAGTGCAGGGGGCCAGCAGCAACGTCACGATTCGCTCCGGCGCCGTCAAGGAATGTGTGGGAATGGCTAACTTTTCACGCTTTCACGCGGCCCCCCAGTGGCCGCCCTGGCCTCGTGCCCAATACCCCCTGGCGCGCGCCCATCAGGGGCTGTCGGCCCGCACCCGGCCTCCCAGGACGCCCTTGTCTGTGGGTATCTTGTGGCCCCCCGCCCCCTGGCGCCGGGCGGCCCCAGCCTTAGGCGGCCGTCTGCAACCTCCTCGGCGCTCCCCCCCTGTCTCCTGCTGCGAGACCGCCGGAGCGCCCGGTGCGTCTCACCGCGGCGTCTGCTCCCCGCGGCGCCCGCCCGGCAGCCTTCCCCGCTCAAGGCGCCGCTCGGGCCTCTCCTTTGCCGCACGACGGTCGCGGGCCCCTCCCTCGGGTCCCCGTCTGCCCTCTGCTGCCCCCCGCCCGGGCCTGCCAGGCCCCGCCTGCGAGGCCGCAGGGAAACCCCCTCGGCCCAGGGCGCTGATCTCCTGGCTTCCCCCTCCGCGGGGTTCTCTCCCCGGCGGTTCTCAATCGGCTTCCGCCCTCGTCGCTCCTCGTCTGCCACCGGCACTTCGTGCCGCGCTTTCTCTTCACCGAGACCTGCGACCGTTAGTCGCCTTCCCCTCGCGCCCCCGCAACTCGGAGCTCTGAGACGCCGCGCTCGAGGTGGTCAGGCCCGTTTCGCCTGAGACTTCTTCGCAGCACGTTTCGCCCGAGACATCGTCGCAACTCTGGGGTCCGAGATGCCGCGCGCGAGGTGGTCCAGCCCGTTACGCTGGCGACATCCTCGCAAATCTGGGCTCCGAGACGCCGTTCGGGATGAAGAGGAGGTGGAGGAGGGAGGAGGAGGAGGAGGAGGAGGAGGAGGAGGAGGAGGAGGAGGAGGAGGAGGAGGAGGAGGAGGCATGTTCTAACATGCCATGCCAACCCGCAATGGACGGGCACGTCATTGACCTTGGAAACCGCAGTGGGTTTAAAACCCTTGTTTGGGGATGCTGCACTCCAGGTATAATGTTTGAAAGGATCGAGACGGCCCCCAACGAGCCCCAAACGAGGCCCAATATGACCCCAATAGCGCCCTCGCGATTCATCACACTTAGAATTTCGCTTGAGACATCCTCAGAAACATGGGTTGTTCGTAACACCGTCTTTCAAAACAACACGCATTTCGCCCGAGACATCCACCAGAACATGAAAACCGCGAATGTAACAAACGTATGGCAATGAGACATCCTCGACAACACGAGATGCTGAAAAGGCTGATTGAAGATCATGCGTGTTAAAACTAAGCTTTTCGCCTTAGACATCTTCAGAACATGGGCAGGTTCACGGCAGCCCATCACGCAGAACACACACAGGAGCACGGCAGAACACAGAAGCACGGCAGAGCACATAACCACATGAGGAGCACGGCAGAAAACACATAATACGCAGGAGCACAGCAAAACACACAGGAGCACTGCAGAACATGCAGAAGCGTGCCAGAACACGCAGAACAAGTAGGAGCACGGTAGCAAGAGCACGGCAGAACACGCAGGAGCACGGCAGAACACACAGGAGCGCGTCTGAACACACAGGAGCTCTTTTTCCGTAGCCATTTTGGGTCAAGGCCATGGAGAACCCGACGACCGCGAGTCGTTCGCGGCGCTCTGAGCGCGATGGTCTCCGCGCTTTGGGCCAGTGCACTTCGAGTTTGTGTTTCCTGCGTTCGCGGCGCGGAGGCGCGGCCCCTCGGCCAGCTCTGCAGTGGCCATGGCGAGGTCCCCACGCGGCGGCGGCAGCAGCAGGCGCGGCAAGTCCTACTGGATGTGCAGCTGCGGAGGATGGAACTGGGACTGGTGCGGCTCGTGCCCTGGCTTTGGGCATGCGGCTCCGCCCTGGGCGCTGGGAATGTCCCCCGCCAAAGCGAGGCCCAAGGCAGACAAGGACGGATGGTTGGATCAGCCGCGTGGGCGCCGTGCCCAGAGGCAGGCCCGCAGCGCGGCCTCGCGGGGAGCCTCCGCCAAGTCGCAGACCTCGGCGTCGGCAGCGAGTGGGGCGCCCAGCGGTGGAGGCGCCACGGCGATCGAGAGGCTCCAGGCAGCAGCCGAGCAGCTCGAGGCGCTGCAGGCCGAGCCGCCTGACGGCGTGGACGGCTGCTTCACCGACGTCGTGGCTAGTCAGCTGGAGGCGAAGCGCGCCGAGCTGGTCAGGGCCCAGAAGGCGGCAGTAGAGCAGAAGGCCTCCTCCCTGCCACGGGCGGTGCAGCTCCACAGGGAGGCGAACGCCATCAGCAAGGGTGAGAAGCGGCTCCGCGCAGCCCGCCAGGGGTTCGAGCAGAAGCAGGCGGCGCGTAGCCTCGTCGAGGCCCAGCTCCACAAGGCGCAGGGGGAGCTCGCCGAGCTCGACGCGGAGGTTGAGGAGGCGAGCCGTGCGCTCCAGGCGCTCGAGGAGGCAGCCCGCGAGGAGGCCGAGGCGCTGCGCCGCCAGCGCACTGCCGAGTGGGCAGGAGCCAGCCAGGTGCCAGGGCTCCCCATGCAGCTGGAGAAGTTGCCCGAGGCCTGGGGCTCCAGCAACTTCGGGGTGGCCTGGGCAGCCATCCGCGCCCAGGTGGAGGCGGGGCGGGCGCAGCTCGCGGGGGGCCCTGTGGCCCCCAAGCGCGCGCCGTGGGCTGAGTCCTGCCCCGTGGAGGTGATCAGCAGCGACGATGGCGATCTCGCAGGTAGCGGTAGCTCTTGGCAGCCACAGCCAGCCGCCGAGCGGGGCCAAGCCGAGCGGCGTGGCAAGGCGCATGGCGAGTGGCCGACGGTGGCCCAGGCATGCCAGCGGGAGCTGGCTGCCGAGGCAGCGGACCTGGCTCCTCTGGCTGCTCGCCATGCTGGCCGCGCCGCGGGGGGCCGCGTCGGAGGAGCGCAGCCAGGGCCAACGAGTGCCTTGTGAGACCAGCGCGGCGGGCCTGCACTGGCGCGAGTGCGGCCACGCCGAGGGCGCCTTGGTGGACTCCCACGGCATCGACGTCGGCGACCCGCCCAGGTACCTGGGGCACGCCGTTGGGCCCGGCATCGTCCTCATGCCCCAGGGCGCGGAGGAGAACGGGGTTCGGGCCCACGTGCTCGGCACTAGCGAGCAGAGCGACCCCATTGGCCAAGCAGGCGCACCTGGGCACTCCGAGGCGATGGCAACGAGGGCGGACCTGCAGCAGCCAGCCGAGCTGCCACTCAGGGAACACGCTCGGAGTCTGGAGGCGGCAGCAGCCAGGAGCGCCAGGGCCGCCACTGTGGTGCGCTGTGCCTCGCCCGCCGCCGCGGTGGTGCGGTCCCTGGGGCGGTTCGGCAGGTGCTTCGAGCCGGAGCGGAGCATGGTCGTGGACCTCGGCGACGTGTTCGATCCCATAGTCCTCGGGCCTCGGGCGATGAGCTTTAAGGCAAGCTCGGTTGCTCTGCAGGCCTCCAACCGCCATGAGAGGCAGAAGCTCAGCTGCGACCCCCTCTGGCTGCGGCTGTGGCTCGGGGGCGCCATCGAACAACTGCTCGGGCCAGGAATCGAGCGGCGCGTGAAGGGGCAGCATGCGCGAGGGGTCCACATCTCCAACGCACGCTGGACGATGAGGGCCTCTGGAGGCTTCGGCAGCCAGTCGATGGCAGGCTCAACGGCAAGTTGTACCTCGACGGCTCGGCCAAGAGTAGCGAAAGGCCCCCTCCTGCTGGCGAGCGCCGCCAGGTGCTGACCGCTGCGGCTGCGGGGCCTCCTCTGGCTGGAGAGACCCTCGGCGGCGGCGCCCCTGCTAAGAGGCCACGCCTGGAGAGCAGCCGCTCGACGGAGCAGTGCGGCAGCCCTCTCGGCCACCGCTGTCGCCTTCAGCATCCTGGGGCACGCGCTTAGCTACGCCTTCGCGGGTGATGTCGAGGACGCCCAGGAGATCGTGGCCTGCTCCAAGTGCGGCGCCTACAAGGTGCTGGGCAGCCACGCGGGAGGCACGTCTCGCCTGAAGGTGCAGTGCCCAGGGCCCAGCTACCTGACCAACAAGTCAGGCAGGAACCAGCGCAGCCTGCGGGAGCGAGGGGTCCATCCTGGAGGCAGGCCGCGAGCGGACAAGCAAAGAGTGAAGGGAGAGGGCACCCCTGCTTTGCGCTCGCAAGGGCCGGTGCCAGGGCACGCCCAGGAGCGCTGCCTGGAATGGCTCGGCATGGAAGCGGAGCCTGCAGGCGAGGCCTCAGCTGCGGCCAGCAGCGCTGGCAGCGGCCCAGCGGCCCCTGCGGCGGCGCTGGCGGAGGAGGCTGCGGCTGCCAGCCTGCCCCAGCAGCGTCCAGGCCCGACGTGCGCTGGCCACCTCGGCGCGAACGAGGCCACCGAGGAGGCGAGCGCTGCAGCGGGCGCAGCGGCGAGCGACGGCCAGATGAGCCGCAGGGTCCGCCGCCGTCTGGCGCGCCGCGGCCTGGTGTCGGAGAGTGAGTGAAGGCTGTGCCTTGAAGGCCCCGTCTTTAACTATAACTTTAACTATAACACGCAGGAGCTCGGCACAGCACGCGTGAGCACGGCAGAACACGCAGGCGCACAGCAGAACACACAGGAGCGGCACACAAGGAGCACGGTAGAACACACAGACACCACAGGAGCACGGCAGAGCACAGAAGAGCATGAGGAGCACGGCAGAGCACACATAATGCACAGGAGCATGGCAGAAGACGCAGGAGCACGGCAGAACATGCAAAACACAAAGGAGCACGGCACACCAAGCAGGAGCACGGCAGAACACACAGGAGCACGGCAGAGCCAGCGCGGGGGTGGCCATGGCGGCGAGGTCCCCGCGCGGCGGCGGCAGCAGCAGGCGCGGCAAGTCCTACTGGATGTGCAGCTGCGGCGGATGGAACTGGGATTGGCGCACCTCGTGCTTGGGATGCGGGCATGCGGCCCCGCCCTGGGCTTTGGGGGCGCCCCCAGCCAAGGCGAGGCCCAAGGCGGACAAGGACGGCTGGGTTGACCAGCCACGTGGGCGCCGTGCCCAGAGGCAGGCCCGCGGCGCGGCCTCGCGGGCAGCCTCCACCAAGTCGCAGACCTCGGCGTCCGCGGCGAGTGGGACGCCCAGCGGTGGAGGCGCCACGGCGATCGAGAGGCTCCAGGCGACAGTCGAGCAGCTCGAGGCGCTGCAGGCCGAGCCCCCTGACGGAGTGGACGGCTGCTTCACCGACGTCGTGGCCAGGCAACTGGAGGCGAAGCGTGCCGAGCTGGTCAAGGCCCAGAAGGCAGCAGCGGAGCAGAAGGCCTCGTCCATGCCGCAGGCGACGCGTCTCCGCATGGAGGCGAACGCCATCAGCAAGGGGGAGAGGCGGCTCCGAGCAGCCCGCCTGGAGCTCGAGCAGAAGCAGGAGGCGCGCGACCTCGTCGAGGCCCAGCTCCAGAAGGCCCAGGAGGAGCTCGCGGAGCTCGACGCGGAGGTGGAGGAGGCGTGTTGTGCGCTCCAGACGCTCGAGGTGGCAGTCCGCGAGGAGGCTGAGGCGCTGCGCCGCCAGCGCGCGGCCGAGTGGGCAGGTGCCAGCCAGGTGCCAGGGCTCCTCCTGCAGCTGGAAAAGTTACCTGAGGCGTGGAGCTCCAGCAACTTCGAGGCGGCCTGGGCAGCCATTCAGGCCCAGATGGAGGCAGTGCGGGCGCAGCTTGAGGGAGGCCCCGCAGCCCCCAGGCGTGCGCCGTTGGCAGAATCCTGCCCCATGGAGGAGACCAGCAGCGACGATGGCGATCTCGCCGATGGCAGCAGCCCCTGGCAGCCCCAGCCAGTCGCAGGGCGAGGCCAAGCAGAGCGGCGCGCCAAGGCGCTGGGCGAGTGGCCGACGGTGACCCAGGCATGCAAGCGGGAGCTGGCAGCAGAGGCAGCGGACCTGGCTCCCTTGGCTTCTCTTCTCTCTGGCAGGTCCGCTGGGGGCCAGGTCGGAGGGGAGCTGCCAGGGCCAGCGAGGGCCTGGTGCAGCCGGTGCGGCAGGCCTGCGCCTGCACGAGAGCGGCGCCGAGGGAGTCGAGAGCGACCCGCTAGGCCTCCGCAGCATGGGCGTCCGCGACTCGCCCAGGGGCCAAGAGAGTGCTGCAGGGCCCAGCGGTGACCTCTTCCTCCTGAACGCCGAGGTGAACGTGTTTGGGGCCATGGAGTTCGGCACTAGCGACTGGGGCGACCTCAGTGACCAAGCTGGTCTACATGGCGACCCTGAAGCAACTTCAGTGCTGCAGCGGCGCCTCGCGAATTCCCAGATGCAGGATGGGGGCATGAGCTCAGCCTCCTGGGGAGCATGGGCCAAGCTGGCCAGGCAGAAGGGCGGCAGGCTCGCCCACAGTTGTACGAAGGCGGGGCCGCCCCTGCCAGTGGGGTACTCAGAGGCCAGCAGGCCTGTGGCAGGCATGATTGCAGTCGGAATGCAGGAGGCCGACGGGCAGGCCCCCTTGCAGCAGGATGGCATCAGGTCTGGAGCTGGAGTCGGCAGCTGGGACGTCCGATGCTCGACGTTGCAGCTCCTCAGCCTGAAGGTGCTACAGGCCGCCGACAGCGGGCCTGGAAGCTGGCCTGCCTCCCACGCGGAGGCTGCTGCTTTCCCCCTCGGCCCCGCAGTCGCGCGGCCTGGCCCTCTTGGAGGCGCGCGAGGAGCAGCCCCAGGCCCTCGAGGCCGCAGCAGGTGAGCGCCGTGCCTCGCCTGTCTACGCAGTGGCGCGGACCCTGGGGATCGGCGACTGGCACCTGGACCTCGGAGACGCGTTCAACCCCAGGTTCCTTGAGCTGCGGGCGATGGGCGCGGGAGCAAGCACGCCCGCTCAGCAGCAGGCCTGCAGCCGCCATGTGAGGCGGGTCCCCTTCTGCAGGCCCCATTTGCTTCGGCAGTGGCTCGGAGACGCCATCGGGCTGGTGCTCAAGCCAGGAGTCGGGTGGTGCTTGTGCGCGCGGCGTGCACGCGGAGGAGGAGCAGGCGGATTCGACAGCGAGCAGCTCATCAATGGCTCAGACTGGATCAGCGGAGGGCGCCCACCTGCTGGCGAGATCGGCCAGGCGCAGTCTGTGGCAGCGTCGGTGCCCCAGCGGGCTGATGAGGCCCCAGGCTGCGGCGCTCCTGCCATGCGGCCCCGCCTGGAGGACAGCCGCTCGGCTGGGAGCAGTGCGGCCGCCCTCTCGGCCACCGCGTTAGCCTTCAGCGTCCTGGGGCACGTGCCCAGCTACGCCTGCGCGGGCGAAGGCGAGGGCGCCCAGGAGATCGTGGCGTGCACCAAGTGTGGCGCCTACAAGGTACTGGGCGGCCGCGCAGGAGGTAAGTCGCGCCTGAAGGCGCAGTGCCCAGGGCCCAGCTACCTGACCAACAAGTCGGGCAGGAACCAGCGCAGCCTGTGGGAGCGTGGGCTACACCCTGGTGGCAGACCTCGAGCGGATAAGCAGAGGGTTAGAGCAGAGGGGCTCTGCGTTTGCAAGGGCCAGTGCCAGGAAACGCCCAGGAGCGCTACCTGGAGTGGATAGGCATGGAGGCGGAGCCCGCGGGCGGAGCCTCGGCCGCGGCCAGCAGTTCGGGCAGCGGCCCAGCGGCGCCCGCGGCTGCGCAGGAAGTGGAGGCAGCGGCAGCCAGCCAGACCCAGCAGCAGCCAGGGTCGAGCGCGGGCGCCCTTGGAGCTGGCGAGGCAGCCGGGGAGGTGCTCGCAGCCACGGGAGCCGCAGCCAGCGGCGGCCTGGCGAGCCGCAGGGTCCGCCGCCGCCTGGCGCGCCGTGGCTCGGAAAACATAGAGTTCTACTTGGAGGGGCTCAGCGGCGAGGGGGAGCCTGCAGGCAGAGCCTCAATCGCGGCCAGCAGCTCGGGCAGCGGCCCAGCGGCCCCGCGCCAGTGCAGACAGCGGAGGCGGCGGAGGTGACCGCCGCGAGCAGCGCGGCGTGTGGAAGGCATGTGAGCCGCAGGGTCAGCCGCCTGCTGGCGCACCGCGGCTCGTCGTCCGTGAGCGAGTGAGTGAGGATAAGCATCGTTCTCTCGTGCGTTGCCCCCAGTGTGAGTAGGTACGCGAGGCACGCTCTGCAGCTTGGGGGCTCCTGTGTCCCGTCGCAGTCGAGTTCCCGTTGAGCGCTGGCCCAAGGCGGCCCCGCTCGGAGGCCGAGAGGCGGCCCAAGGTGGCCCTCTCGGGGGGGTGGCCCTGCTGGGCCCCCGCGGGTGGCGGCCCTTGGCGGCCCCTCTCGCGCTGGCGTGTCTTTGGCTTTTGTGGCCCACCACTTTGCCTCCAAGGCCCCGTCTTTAACTTTAACTTTAACACACAGGAGAACAGCAAAGCACGCAGGAGCACGGCTGAACACGCAGGAGCACGGCAGAGCACAGAAGAGCATGCGGAGCACGGCAGAACAATCAATCGCACGGCATAACACACAGGAGCACGGCAGAACACGCAGGAGCACGGCAGAACCCAAAGAACATCCGAGAGCACGGCAGACCACACAGAAGCATGGCAGAACCCAACGAGCATTCGCGAGCACGGCAGAACACACAGGAGCACGGCAGAACACGCAGGAGCACGGACGAGCACAGGAGAGCATGAGGAGCACGGCAGAACATAGGATACACAGGAGCTTGGCAGAACACGCAGGAGTTCGGCAGAACACGCAGGAACACGGCAGAACCCCGCAATATATGCAGAATCCATGCGAGCACGGCAGAACACATAGGAATGCGGCAGAACACATAGGAACACGAGGAACACGCATAATACACAGGAGCACGGCAACAACATTGAGGAACACGGCATAACACGCAGGAGCATGGCAGAACATGCGGAAGTACACGCAGGAGCACGGCAGAACACACAAGAGCATTGCAGAACTCGCAGGAGCACGAGGAGCACGGCAGAACACGCAGAACACGCAGGAGCTCGGCAAAGCATGCCGGACCGTGGCAGAACACACAGGAGCACGGCAGAACCCCGCAGGTGCTCAGGAGCACGGCGCAGCGCAGCACAATACGACCCTTGGCACAGTGCCCTCACTATCGATATCGTCAGCATGACCATTGCCCATCGCCCAATTGATGTGCTTTGAAACGTTTCCATGCTTTACACTTCGACATCCCAATCTGGATTCGTTTGTCGATCTTTTTTGGGGAGTGCTGGAACCAGCGCCTCGCCTGAGACATCGTCGCAATCTGTCGACGGGAGCGTTGTAACTGAATCTGAGTGAGGAAGAGCGTGTGTGAGCATGAGTGGGTATGAGCGGTGAGCGAGTCTGAGCGATGAGAGAGTATGCGTGATGAGGAAGCCTGAGTGATGAGTGAGTCTGAGCGCGGAAGTATGAGTGAGTCTGAGTGGTGAGTGAGTTTGAGTGATGAGCGAGTCTGAGTGCGAGTGTGTATGAGTGCGTTTGATTTGTATGAGGAGGAAGGGGAGGTGTTTTCAGCGCGGTCAGAGTAATCACGAGAACCCCATCTTAGGATCCGTGTGACGATTGGTCCATGTCGCCTGGTATCACTACGCCTTGCCAGCATGGTGTGCCGTATGATTTCGCGGGTGATCCAGCCCTCAGCGAGTATGATTACAATAACGCATCTTGGTCTTCGATTTATGCTTGCAACCTGAACGCCGCAGGTTCTTCGTATTACATCCGCAGTCCTGCGTTTTACTTCGTACCCGGTGACTACAAACTGGATGTGTGGGCTGAGGACGACTTATTTGTTGCTTTGGTTCCACAGGTCGGCACTGTGTCAAATATATTCGGGCAGATGAGTGCGGACTGCAACAGCTGGACCCCCTCATCCAAACAGCAGAGAAATTTGAATTTCCATGTTGCCGATTGGGGCTTTTACAGAGTTGCCATGCTGCATGCCACGGATGGTGGCTCTATTCGGCTCACAGACTGGACGTCCGTGCCGGCGCCCGCCCGCGTGCATGCCAGCGTGTGTGCATGGCGCACCAATGTACGTTGCATTCGTGTCCGCACGCATGTCTGAGCGTGCTCTCTGCACAGGGATTGTCAGGAGGAGAAAAAACACACAGACACCATTCATCGTCGATTCCCCAGAAAATATTTGAAAATATGGGCAGTGGTGGGGAAGCCAGACACCAGGAACATACGGGAAAACATGCGGAATCCTTCTCTTTGTGTGTGCATTGCTTGGCGTGTCCCAGGGCCCCCTCAGTTTGGCGCCGCCACGACCTCATCGCTGCAAGTCGCGCTGCCCTGGGCGCGCGCACTCCCCCCCTTGCCGCCTCCCCGTCCTCGTCGGCGGCGGGGCTCGGCTCGTCCCGTGGGCGCGGGGTGGCCTCCCGGCCTCCCCCGCTGTCGCCGCGGCGGGATTGCGCTCGACGCTCTCGCCCTCCCCGGATGGCCGCCGGGGCGTGGCTTCGCGGAATGCCATCGCCTGCCCAGACCTCGCGCGCCACGAAAAAAGCGATACGACCCGTCAAAAAACGACTCGGGACGAAAAACCAGCCCCCGGGAAGTGGTTGGGAGGTCGGGGACTCGCGTTTCGAAAAAATCGAGACGTTGGATGTCTAGGTGCGCCAAAAAAGCGAGGTGCGCTTTTTTCCCGGAAAGGGCGCCGGCCCAGGATAGTGCTGTTCACCCCCGGCGTCGACTTGAAGCAGGCCGGCGGCACTATTCTGTGATTGGTAACGAGCTTTGAAGAGGGCTGGCGCAATTATTTCTGAGGGCGTCTCGAGCGAAACGCGTTTTTCCCCGGAAAGGGCATGGGCCCAGGGCTCTCTTTTCGTATTGTTACCCCCGGTTTCGGCTTGAAGGCGGCCGGCGGGTTCTTTCTGCGATCAATGACGAGGTTTCAAGAGGGCCGGCGGATTTAATTCTGAGGATGTCTCAAGCGAAACGCGGTAAACTGAGAGTTTTCGTTTGTTGCGGATGTCTCGAGCGAAACGCTCGTTTTGTTCAAATGTTGGAGGATGTCTCAAGCGAAACGATGGGTTTTGGACAGTTCCAGGAATCTGGACGCCCAAGGATGCCCCAGGGGGCTCTGGGAGTGCGGACGCAGCGACTTTACAAGGGATCGTGGCCCTGGGAGCGCGGCCGCAGCATAATTTACGAGGGATCGCGGCCCTGGGAGCGCGGACGCAGGCAATTCTCGAATGATTGTGACCCTGGGAGCGCAAAACCTGTGCAATTTACAAGGGATCTTGGCCCTGGGAGCGCCAATCCAGCGTAATGCATTGGGTGTCTTGGCACTGTGAGCGCGAAACCCGTGTAATTTACATAGGGTTGTGGCCCTGGAAGCGTGCACCCTTTGTAATTTGCATGGGATCGCGGACCTGGGAGCGCGAATCCAGTACAGTTTACGAAGGGGGTTTGGCTGTGGGAGCGCGGAACCCGTTCAATTTACTACAAGGGATCGTGGTCTTGGGAGCGTGCATCCAGCGTAAATTACGATGGATCGTGGCGGTGGGAGCGTCACCCAGTGTAATTTTCAATGGGTCTGGGCACTGTAAGCGCGAACACGTCGCAATTTGCGCGAGTCCAGCTTCATTTGCGTGGGGTCGCGGCTTTGGGCGCGCGGACGCAGCGTAATTTAGAAAGATTCGTGGTCTTGGGTCCAACTCCTGATTTTCAGGCAATGAGTGTGAGACAAAAACCGCCCTCCGAGTACATATCCCAATGCAGAGATGTATTGGTTTCTGCTCTTGGGAGGCGGGGCGGGGCCTTTTGGGCAACCTCCGCGCGGTGCTTCGCGACCCAGGGGCGCGGACAAAGCATAATTTACAAGGGGTCGTTGCCCCGGGAGCGCGGCCGCATCGTAGTTTCCGAAGGACTTTGGGCTTGTGAGCGCGAGCCCAGCTTAATTTTCAAGGGATCGGGGCCCTGTGAGCGTGAATCCCGTATGTTTTACAATGGATCTTGGCCCTGGGAGCGCGAACCCAGCGTAATTCACAAGGGATCTTGGCACTGGGAGCACTAAACCAACGTAATTTTCAAGTGATCGTTGCCTTTGGGAGCATGCATCCATCGTAATGTGCGAGAGATCTTGATTGGCCTTGGGAGCGAGAGTCCAGCGTAAGTTACGATGGGGGTTTGGCTGTGGTAGCGCGAACCTTGTATAATTTTTCAAGGGGTCGTGGCCCTGGGAGCTGGCACCGGGGGGGAATGCGAAGAACGTGAGGGCCACGTGTAAGGGCGTGCCCAAAAGTAAAAGCACTAGGCTGGGGGCGGACATGAGGGTTCGGCGAACTCTTGCAGGCCGCCACCCAGTCCCCAATGCGCCTCTCTGATATGAGTTGTGCTTATCTCCGCGCTTCGCGCGTCTGCCTCACTGAAGTGAGAAGCCTTTCCCCGTCTGAGGTGAGAGTCACCCTGACAGGGCCGTTGTCTCTGCTGCGTGGTTGGTTCAGCCGCGCAGGCAATGGGATAGAAAAAGAGCGCGCATCGGTGTTGATATGCGAGGGATCGCGGCCGCGTGAGCGCGAACACGTTGTAAGTTGCGATGGTCGTGGCCTTGAGAGCGCAAGCCCACCTTAATTCATGAGGGATCGCGACCTTGGGCCCGCAGGCGCAACGCAATTTACGATGATTCGCGGCTTCGGGTCCAGCGCCCGAGTTCCAGGAAATGGCGGGGGATCCGAAGATCGCTCTCCGAGTACCACGTACATATCCCAACACAGAAAGGCATCGGTTTCTGCTCTGGGGAGGCAGGGGGCTTCTTGGGCAGCCTCCACGCGGTGCTGCGCGACCCTGCTTGCGCGGACACAGCGGAAATGAAAAAAGGATCGTGGCCCCGAGAGCGCGGCCGCAACGTAATTTACGAGGGATCGTTGTCTTGGGAGCGCGGACGAAGTGTAACTTACGGGGGATCTTGGCCCTGGGAGCGCGAACCCAGCGTAATTCACAAGGGATCTTGGCACTGGGAGCACTAAACCAACGTAATTTTCAAGTGATCGTTGCCTTTGGGAGCATGCATCCATCGTAATGTGCGAGAGATCTTGATTGGCCTTGGGAGCGAGAGTCCAGCGTAAGTTACGATGGGGGTTTGGCTGTGGTAGCGCGAACCTTGTATAATTTTTCAAGGGGTCGTGGCCCTGGGAGCTGGCACCGGGGGGGAATGCGAAGAACGTGAGGGCCACGTGTAAGGGCGTGCCCAAAAGTAAAAGCACTAGGCTGGGGGCGGACATGAGGGTTCGGCGAACTCTTGCAGGCCGCCACCCAGTCCCCAATGCGCCTCTCTGATATGAGTTGTGCTTATCTCCGCGCTTCGCGCGTCTGCCTCACTGAAGTGAGAAGCCTTTCCCCGTCTGAGGTGAGAGTCACCCTGACAGGGCCGTTGTCTCTGCTGCGTGGTTGGTTCAGCCGCGCAGGCAATGGGATAGAAAAAGAGCGCGCATCGGTGTTGATATGCGAGGGATCGCGGCCGCGTGAGCGCGAACACGTTGTAAGTTGCGATGGGTCGTGGCCTTGAGAGCGCAAGCCCACCTTAATTCATGAGGGATCGCGACCTTGGGCCCGCAGGCGCAACGCAATTTACGATGATTCGCGGCTTCGGGTCCAGCGCCCGAGTTCCAGGAAATGGCGGGGGATCCGAAGATCGCTCTCCGAGTACCACGTACATATCCCAACACAGAAAGGCATCGGTTTCTGCTCTGGGGAGGCAGGGGGCTTCTTGGGCAGCCTCCACGCGGTGCTGCGCGACCCTGCTTGCGCGGACACAGCGGAAATGAAAAAAGGATCGTGGCCCCGAGAGCGCGGCCGCAACGTAATTTACGAGGGATCGTTGCCTTGGGAGCGCGGACGAAGTGTAACTTACGGGGGATCGTGGCCCTGGGAGCGTCAACCCAGCGTAATTTACGAGTGATCTGAGCACTGGGGTCGCGAAGCCCGCGTCATTTACGAGTGATCTTGGCTCTGTGGTCGCGAATCAAGCGCAATTCGCAGGGATCTATGCACTGGGAGCGCGAAACCTGGTTAATTTCCATGGGATCGTGGCCCTGGGAGCGTGCATCCAGCGTAATTTACGATTGATCGTGGCCCCGGGAGCGCGAACCCTGTGTGATTTACGATGGGTTTGGGCACTGAGCGCGAAACCAACGCAATCTACAAGGGATCGCGGCCCTGAGAGCGTGCATCCAGCGTAAATTATACGGGATGGTTGCCCTGTGAGCGCGAACCCAGCGTAATTTACAAAGGGGCTTTGGCTCTGAGAGCGCGAGCCCAGCGAAATTATGAGGGATCGCGGCCTCGGGCGCGCGGACGCAGTGTAGTTTATAAGGATTCCGGGCTTCGGGTACAGCGCCTGATTTACAGCAAGAGCCAGGTGGGGGGGGGGGGAGACCTGCTCAGCAGCATCGGCGATGCATCGCCCACAGATCGGCGCTAGGCCCCCCGACGGCTCCTGGGCCAGGGTGAGCTGTCAGGATGCCCCTGTCGGCGACGCACTGGCGAGTGAGGGTCGACGCATCCCCCCCTAAGCTTAGGTCGGGCATGTCCTCCTACAGGCGGGGGGAGGGGGGGCGAAGAGCGTCCCCCGAGTTTATATCCCAATGCAGAAAAAGTATTGGTTTATGCTACGGAGAGGGGAAGGGCCCTTTTTGGGCAACCTCCGCGCAGGGGGCGCGGACACTGCGTAAATTTGCTAGGGATCGTGGCCATGGGAATGCGGAGGCCGCGTAATTTACAAGGAATCTTGGCATTGGGAGCGCGGACGAAGCGTAATTTGCGGAGGGGCGTAGCCCTGGGAGCTTGAATGCCGCGTGATTTTCAGGGGATTTTCGGTCTGGGAGCTTGGATCCAGCGTAATTCGCGAGGGATCTAAGCATTGGGAGCGCCGAGCCCGTATAATTTACGAGGGATCAGGGCCCTGGGAGCGTGCATCAGTCGTCATTTGTGAGGGATCAGGGCCCTGGGAGCGCGAGCCCAGGCTAATTCGCGAAGGGGTCTTGG